CCAGAGGTACTCACTTCCAAAAAATCAGAGTCTTAAGATGTTGGAGACGTGTTATTATTTCTAGGGATCTCTGACCACCTTTCCTACAAGGGAGATCAGTGTGACTTTAGGGTAGGTTATAAACCAGTTGGCTTCCAGGCTACAGCACACCTTACAGCTGATGCTCCTTAGTACAACAGGCACCCCCCTAAATTCTCTCAGGAGCAGAGACAGGGACCTTGAACAACACATCTAAAAGCAGCTGGGGTGAATCCCAGCCCTGAATGCTACAGTAAGAGTTCCTGGGGGATGGAAGTTGACCTTGCACAAGGGGCTGCTGATGTCTCCCACCCCACATACAGCAGGAGAAAAGCTCAGTCACCACCACAATTATTCTACATTAATTCAAACTGGTCTTGTCTCCATGATAAATATCCCATTGCCACAATGAAAGCACCAGGGAAAATCCAAGAGAATTTCCATGCAGAGTTCAAGTAAAATGAGTCTTACCATGCCAGAGCAGCATCCCCACAGTATTCTGCTGCTTGGCACACCTGGCTTTCAGCTCCATCCATCCCTGGATACAGAGATTACAATCTTTAATTTCAAAAGCCCTGCACTCCAGTCCTCAGATCAGGTATTCTTGTTTAAATTCTTTGACAGCTAGATATTCTGGTATATTTTCCAGGGAAAAAAAAAAAAAAAGAGCGAAAGAGAAAAGATGTCTTTAGAGGATGAGATCTCCTGCTACATGCTTTTGCCTTATTGGCCCATTTAACCTAAACCTTCCTGAAAACTCCCACTGGAAGAGACTGGAATTCCTCACAAGTCTAGGTGAAAAGTATTACATACATACATACATACACACATACATACATACATACATATGTTGAAAAGCTATCTTCCAGCTAAGAAAACCTGAAGTCAGGGAGATACGTGAAGGTGGCAGAAAATACGCCAAATTATCTTTCAAGTATTTTCTGGGAGTGGGAGGACAGGAGCCAGAAAAACACAGGGAAAGGGAGGAGAAAAAGGGCACCTGAGAAGTGTAAGGTTTACATGTACCTGTCAGAAAATCCTCAGCATCAGCCAGTTTCAGATAAATAGAAAGATAAAGGGAAAAGCACAAGGAGGGTGCAGAAGGACTGGATGCTTCAAGTCTATCCACTGTTGCTGCTTCTTTTTTTCAGGTAAAAGCCCTGCAAAAAGAGCCACAAAAAGAAGGAACTCCAGCTGCTTACACTGCCCCCAGGCACCTTGTAGTTGGCTAGCTAAAAGAGCTTTCCTGGGGAAAAGACTCTCAGAGGGGACCAAGATTTTGTTGCTTTTGTTGCAGTTTTTGCAAGAAATAAAGTCAGGGAAAGCATTCTCAGACTTGAAACTATTTCCATGGAATGAAGAGGAAGGATGTATTGCTGTGCCGAGGCTGAGAGCACATCTGGGATGGAGAGTGGCTTCCCCATGGTACTCTGGTGCTATGACCCGAGACAAAGCACTTGTCCATAGTTCACAGTGCATATACTACATCTGGTGAGAAAGTAAAATCCACTCTGTGGTAAGACTGAATCTTCCCATGTGACTACTAGCACAGGACAGGGTGCTTAAAATAGCTGAAACACTGCCTACCCTCTACCAAAACCATGCAAATCCCTTACATGACCACAACATAGGAAAGAATGACCCTGTCTCCACATTCATGATGTAATGATGAGGGAATATCGCCAGAATTAGGTAAAGTCTGGAGGGTCTAATGAAGCCTGCAGGCTATGGACCAGTGAGGGAATCCAGCCTGCATCCCTAAGCTTCGTTTGCACATTTGTATATTCCTCCAAACTGCATCATATTTAATAGTTATAACCCACAGAACCCACCTCCCTTCTTAAATATT